CTACATAATCTTTACTCCCTGGAATGGAGATAAGAAACGCCCTAACCTTTGGAATAGAAATTGACAGGATTAAAATCAACTGGTATAAATACAGATGTAACAAGACAATAAAACACAGAACTTGGCTGGAGATCCTGGCTAGAGAACCTGGCTAGGCTGCTGATCAACTGAACGCTGTCTCCGTGTCATTCCTTCTTTGCGCACTCTGTCCACACCTTTGGGAACTCCTGGACCTGCTGGGGTTGGACCCCAACACTGTGGCTCAACGATATCAAAGTGGTTCAATGATATTAACTGGCCAATGGCTGTTTTTGAAAATGAAATTTTATTTAACTGGGTTATATCTTTCTGGTGACTTTTGCATTACAATGGTTGAGTTAAATAGTTACCACAGGAACCACAGACCATCATGTTAGCAAAGCTAAAGTATTTACTGCCTGGCTCTTTGCAGTAAATTTGTTGACTCTTAATATAAACAATGACACTACTGTCCTCAGCAATCTTATCCTAAGGATGGATCCCTCCATGCCCACAAAATGCTGCCAGCAGCAATCAGAGGGAGGGAGGGAAGGAGGGAGGGAGGGAGAGAGGATGAGAATAAGAACTATTTCCTCCAGGCATGGCACATTTTGTTTCCTTCACTTTTATTGGACCAGATTATATCACACAGTCAATCCTGGACAAATAACTGTTGTTAGGAGACCTGCTAATCATACATTGGTTTAGAATTTTACTTTGGAGCTTATCATGGGCCACTTACCTGAAAAAATTGGGGGTTTTATACGGCTGAAAAAATGCTCAGCAAAAAACTTTATTTACCATAAGCACCTAACAGAGTGCTCAGAGCCTGATAGGTACTCAATATCTTTTCATTCCTTTGCCCAGCAATGATGGTCTCCACTTGGGTAGAGTAAAATAAGTACTGGGCTAGGAGTTGAGAGACCTGGCATTTGATATTGACTTAAGCTAAGAGTAGCTTGTGACCTTAGGAAAAAATAATTTAATTTTAATTTTTGCATTGAAATATAAAGGGTTATGGATTAGACACTATCTAGAGACCATTCTGGTTATTAAACAAAAGTATTCATTAATGGACCTATATTTGTGTAGTGCATTAGCATTTTCAAACTGATTTCCATATACATTGCAGGGAAGCTTGTTGGCAGTAGTCAAGGAGAAAATGTCTCTAAGGTGCAAGATCAGAGTGTATGTTTACTTCTTGATAGATTCAAATCCTCACTGGGGCTGAGTGTCAAGCAGAGGTGAGACATGACCAATGTGGCAGAACATGTTCATTCATTCATTTATTCATTCAACACATATGATTCAGTGTCTGCTACGTGCCAGGCACTGAGCTAAATAGAAGAGGGGCCATGATCTCATAGAGTCTACATTCAAAGGGCAGTAGAAGAATAGTCAGAGACCTCACAAAAAACAACACACTTTTATATAGTGACAATGTTTATGATGATAAGCAATGACTGCGGGGTTACATCATGTGACAGGGTCAGGATAGACTTCGGTGACAGGATCTTTCATCTATGAATGTGTAAATCTGGAGGAAGAACATCCCTTTCCTTTTAATATAATTTGCCTGAGTTTTAGTTTCCATTGATATAGCTATAGTTTTCCATTTCTCTCCTAACACTTTTCTTTGTTGAGAAGTTCTTACAAGTCTTCCCTTGGGAAAAAGATATGTGTTAGAAAAAGGAAGGTTGGGGAAGGGGAAATGTTTAAATAGTTTTTGAGTTATTTCAGAATGACAGAGTTTCAGCCATTATAAAAGTTAAGCTCATGTTTTCTAATTTTGGAAGCATATTTTAGGCAATAGAAACAAAAGTACCCAGAGACCTATAGCAATATCTTTATATGCCAATCACATCACATGAAGAGGCACAGAAAAAGCACCCCAGATTGGCCCACTCCTGAGGAACGTGATTTCTTAAGCTTCAGAGAAAAGGAAAAACATACTTCAAGAAGTAGCAGTAGTATCTTCCTGCCTAGACTGAAAATGGATTCCTCACGTGCACAGGGGTACAGCACTTACTGTATTGCAACCTCTCCACACAACAGTAATTGATGATGTTACTGCTAAGTTAATCCTTTTGCTATTGCAGCAAGCGTGTGATGTTACATTTAGTGAACCCTCATTCATGCTTCCTGCTCTTGAATCTCTAAAACCCTGTTTCTCCTTTTGAATGCATTTTTCAAAGCAGCTTATAAGCATTTATACATTTGAATATATTGTTAATGTGACACTTGCAGAGAAAAAAATTGTGTTAATCTGGGAAATACAAAAGCAGCTTGGGAAAGCATAAGCCTGCCTCCAGGCAAAATGGACCCAGTTAATGTTTGTAATGATTGGTTTGCAGGGATTTTATAAAAGTCAGTTTGTCTTATCTGAGGCTGAGTCTACATAGTGCAGAAACAAAAGATTAATGCAATTACTTTGGTGACTCCCTCCCCAGCCTCAGAAAAAAAAAAATAAACCTATTTTGTATCATTGTCCCCATAGCAAAATTTTGAATATATCACTTCATTCCTAGTATATGATTAAATTTTTTGAGATCATAACAGTCAAACTATTTTGAAGATAAAAATATTAAAAAATGTAATTGTTTGGGAAATCATATAAAGATAGCTATATATATATATACTAGAGGCCCAGTGCACAAAAATTTGTGCACACTTGGGGGGGGGTCCCCCAGCCCGGCCTGTGCCCTCTCCCAGTC